AAAATCAAATCTTCGGCCAAATTGTGCATTTTTCCAGAAGCCCACGTCACAAAAAAAAACTGTCAGATTTATCAGACATTCATTCATTTACATGAACAATTACAAAAGGCCATCTCAGTGTGTGTACAAATCTATACATACAGTTTAAGGGTTTATAGAGATGGTAAAATTGGGTAGTCAAAACTCAAAAACAACAATTATTAAAGCTACCTGTGACTAAATATACTCTGTGAGGCGCCCCAAGAGTTTTTTTGGAGGACTCTTTTTTTTTTCTTTTTTTCCTCCATCTCCATAAATATGCACACTTTCTGAAACCCTAGAAAAAAAAAACCGTTTAAGCAAATTTCTTGTTGAATTGTCTCATTCAATCTACTTTTTTTCCAAATTATTTAGAAGGGGTGGGCGATAATTTCATATGTGATTAATTATCGATTTGGGTTCTGAAGACAAAAAAGGAAATTATGCGGGGGAAGGATCCGCCGCCGCCGGATGAGTTCCGATGCAAGCGCACCGACGGCCGTCAATGGCGGTGCAAGCGCCGCGCGATGGACGGGAGGACGCTCTGCGACATTCACTTCCTTCAGGGGCAGCACCGCCAGCACAAGCAGAAGGTGCCGGCGTCCCTCAAGCTGGAGAGGAACGCGGCCAAGAAAAGCGTAATTGAGAACGGGGAGGGCAGCCGTAGGGCTTCGAGGCCGCCGCCGGCGACGCGGCGGGCGAAGTGCGTGTCGGAGTCCCTGGACGAGGCCCTGAGGAGGATGAAATTGAAAAGGGGCGACCTGCATTTGGAGCTGATGAGGATTTTCCTGCAGAGGCAGGTGGAGAAGAAGAAGGAGAGAGAACTGAAGGAGAATGCAGTTGAGGACGAGACGATGGAGCTGCCTTATGGAGTGATGGCTATTGCACAATCTTCGCCTTCGAGTTTACAGAGAATTCGTGAGGGCGATTTTTTGGATGTGAAAATTGGGGCGAATTCGAACTCGAACGGTAGTTTTTTCTTGCAGAGGCACTTTCGGTCGAAAAATATTGAACCCCTACCGATTGGGACAATGCAGGTTCGTTTTTCTTGCTTTTATTGCTAATACTTCGTCACTTTCGTTTTCTTTCTTTATTGTTAATTGGTACGTGTTCCGTAATTGACTAGGTTGTCCCGTTTGCGGAGAATGTGAAGAAGATGATAAAGATCAAGAAATGCCATTGGTGTAGGAGAAGTAAATGTCCTAGCTTGATCAGGTGCTTGACGTGCAGAAAACGATTCTTTTGCCTGGAATGTATTAAAGAGAGGTTAGTTGAGTGACTTGAGTCATCCCATTGAAAAATGCATTTTTTTTTTTTATCACTTTGGTGAAAATTAGTCTGCTCTTGGCAAAGTAGCACTTATTGGAATCTTGATCTTCGTTTAGGGCCTTTGAGAAGCAAGAAGTGAAGGCTAAGTGTCCAGCCTGTCGTGGGGCTTGTGTTTGTCAGCTCTGCATGAAACAGAAAAACAGAGCTAATCATAATTCTAAGGTTCTTGGCAGAACTGAATTTTGAACTAATTTCTGAATAAGGATTGGAGAATGGCTGCTTGACTTTTTTTTTATTTTATTTTTTTCCCTGCAATGCCCTTTTTTTCTTACATTTCAGGATTCTTGTAGAGGTGGAAAGAAGTTGGATAGAAAACAATTGCTTCAGTATTTAATTCACACGCTTCTTCCTGTGTTGAGAAAAATTAATCATGATCAGGCCATTGAACTCGAAACAGAATCTAAGGTAACAGGTAACGAGAATAATTGAGATCTTATCCTGTTAATCAGCTGTGTTGCTTTCTTTATTCGATTTTTAACTTATACAGTTCACTGTTCTACTTGCAACAGGCAATGAACAAGCTGAAATGCAGATTACACAGAGTAAATTAAATATTCATGCATCACCTTGCTGGTAATTTTATTTCCGTATGCAAGCAAATTACTTCCTTCGTGTGAGATTTTAATTTTAATTAATTTTTTTTTTATTATTGCAGCAACAAATGCAAAGCTTCAATTGTGGACTACCATAGGACCTGCACGAGCTGTTCGTATAATCTTTGCTTAAATTGTTGCTGGGAAGTCTCTCCACATACTGTTTATGGGAGTTTTACTCTCAGAAGTTGCAAGAAAAGGAAAATCTCTTCTTCTAACGATGAGTTACCATCTGAAAAGAATAATATCACAAGGCAAAACTGGGAAGCTGAAGAAAATGGAAAAATCCCTTGCCCACCAACAGATATTGGAGGTTGTGGTAAAAACACTCTCGATTTAAGATGCGTATTCCCCTTCGACTGGTGTAGAGATTTAGAGGTAAAAGCCGAAGAAATATTGTGTGAGTATCAGTTTACAGAAAACTCGAATGCTTCTCCTTGCTGTTCACTGTGCAACAATGGTGAATCCAAACTGCATAGAGAATTTAATCGGAAAATCGGTATTAGTGGGAATAATTATCTCTACTGTCGTGCTGTAAAAGATCTTCATCAAGAAAAACTCGAGCATTTTCAGAGTCACTGGGTTAAGGGTCAGCCTGTTATTATACGAAATGTGCTCTCAGGAGGCCCCACAGGCTTGTGCTGGGACCCAGTTAACATGTTGTGTTTGTATTTGGAGAATAAGAGCTCCGAATCTCGTGATGATGAAGATGGCTCGAAAGGAAGGAAATGTGTCGACTGGTGTGAGGTGTGTGTTTTTTCTATTTCTTAATTTTTTTATTATTTTTCTAATGTTTATTTTATTTTTTAATTGAGCAGATTTGACATTTTGTAGGTGGAAATTGAGCGGAAGCAGATATTCATGGGTTCGCTCGAGAAGAGAACTCATGCAATGGTTCGGAAAAAAGTTGTAAAATTCAAAGCCTGGCTTTCGTCACATCTATTTCAGAAGCAGTTCGCGGAGCATTATAACGAGATCTTGAGTTCTTTACCGTTTCCAGTTTACATCAATCCGATATCTGGCCTTTTGAATCTCGGTGCGAATTTGCCGAACGAGTTTTCAATGCCTGATTTAGGACCGTGTATTGATATTTCATACGGAGGTCCAGAGGAATTTTTGCAGGCTGATTATTTGTCAAAACTGTGTTATAAATCACACGATACGGTATTTCTTGTTTAAATATATGTTAAAACTTAAAACCATATTTCTATTACATATTATAGAGGATTTTTATTCTTTAGTCTTTAAGAATGAGTGTAATGGGCTTTCGTTTTTCTCAGGTTAACATTCTCGCTTATGCTACCGATGCTAAAATCTCACGAGAGCAAATTAACAAAATCGAGAGTCTGATGAAAAAGTACAAGAAAGGCAAATCACCTTTGCAGAGTGAGGAGGACACAGGTGAATCGGGCTTGCAAGACAATAGAGAAAAGAAGGTTTTGCCCAATGGAATAGGAATTTTACCATTTTACCCTCACAACGTCGAAAATGGAAATAATTTGTCTGATGATGGCGAAGAATCTGATGGTGAGGCGTCGATTCTTTGCTGTGGGAGTGTTGAAAACTCCGAAGACTCTTCTGATGACATAGAGAGCTCAGTTTTCAACAAGGATAACAATCGAGGGGATGATGTTACATGTGGGGCCCACTGGGACATTTTTCCTCGTCAAGATGTACCGAAACTTTTGGAGTATCTTAGGAGACATTCGAAGGAGCTCGGCTCTGCATCTAACTACTCAAAACACGTATGTTATGATCACTTAAGGGTTTTTTCTTTTTTTTTTTTTTTATTTTTTTTTTTTTTTATTTTACTTCATTATATATTGACTTTTTATGTATTCGTTTGTTTTATATCTTTAGCAGGTTCATCATCCCATTCTTGATCAGAATTTCTTTCTCGATGCGTATCATAAATTGAAGCTCAAAGAGGAGTTTGGTGAGTACTATAATTTTCGTTATCTGTTCTCGTCTGGATATTTATTAGCATTTAAACTTGCTAAAAATGTGTAGCTTGTTTTCATTTGCTTTTCAGATGTTCAACCTTGGAGCTTTGAGCAATACATTGGAGAAGCTATCTTCATTCCTGCTGGATGTCCATATCAAATAAGAAAAATAAAGGTGCAATATTTATTCACTTATTCTGATATTGGAACCAAATTCATAGGGACTAGAAAAACAGCAGCTTCTAATATAAAGAGTCTTTCTTTTTAATTTTTTTTTCTCCAGTCGTGTGTTAACGTCGTTTTGGATTTCGTCTCGCCTGAGAATGCAACTCAGTGCATTCGGCTGAACGATGAGATTCGTTTACTGCCAAAACGGCACCAAGCCAAAGGGAAAGTGATGGAGGTAAAAATCTGAACTTTTGCCGGAATTTAAATTTTTTTTTTTTCGTTATTGGAAAGCTTATATGATATAGTTTTTGACATGAAATTTGATTTTAAAGGTGGAGAAAATGGCTCTTCAGGGCATTAGTTCGGCAATCGAAGATATACAAAACCTCATGCATGTCGATCAAGTATGAATTATGAAATTCCTTTTTTCGGATTATTTTTTTATTTTTTTCTAAATCTGCAGCTAAGCCTCTTGGATGAAAGAATCTTGAAAGCTTACACGCACACTCACACAAAGAAAAAATCAAAATAATTCAAACATACCTTTATCGTTTTTGTAAGCTCACCAATAGTGAATAGCTGATTCTCCAGAGATTACTTGGTTGATGGGTTAAAAAATCTAAATTTATTTTTTTCTTGTTTTATAATAACTAAGTACTCACGATCTGGTTTGACCATCAACTGATGAAAGCACACACACTTTTTTTTTTTCTCTTTTTACAGTGACCATCTGCTGTATAATCCTATTCGACTGGGTAAGTTAAAGATGTGCACCGAACTTTCAAGCCATTCTTTTGCTTGTAAGTTACTAAAGCTAGATACATAAGAAACATATACGCATGGTTTAGTGTCTATCAGAGTTTGACAAATCGTAAAAACCTGCTGCAGTTTTACATGGCATGAGGCACTTTTCTGCTTCTCCTACTAAATATGTGAATGAGAAATCTCTGCATTTGCTTAAAAGGTACTAAACTTGCATTTTGAGCTCAACCGAGTTTAACCAGTTGCAGATTAAAGAATTTTTCATCTGTTTTTCACAGTATGGAAAAATGGAAAAAAACTGACTGAGTCTCTATCAGGTCAGCTGAAGACCGTTTGATAGGCCATATGTTCGCTAGATACTGATGTATAGATGATTTATTGCCATCTTGAATTGTGTAGTTCGTTCGTTCGTTCNAAATTCGTAGTACATAATAGTTGGATACTGTAAACAACATTCTTACATAAACAGGTAGCTGAATTTCTTGCTATTGGTGAAATAATGGAGGAAAAAATAAATGTATGTGTAATGTTGTATGAAGCAAAAGTTTATTTCAGTCGTTTGCAACCAAAATTAAATTTTTATGTCAGGAAACAATTCGTACTGCTTAAATTTCAAGTAACAGTTTGCAACCTAAACTGAATTCCATACCAAACAGCAATTCATATTTTTTTTTAATCTTAGATGAACTATTTGATGATATTCTCCTTGGAGATCAAATGTTTTGTGTAGTGATAACTATTAATTGGTACCAATATACTTGATGGTGAACTGGCAATAACCTTACTCAAGGTTGTATAATTTGGACCATTTTATGTTATTTAAAGTTATGCTAATGCTACTCTTGACTCTCGGTCATGTACATATGAAAAAATATAAATTAAACTCAACAACCAGTTTAAGATCATGTTTGTTTTTTGGCTTTTTACTGCCAAAAATGTTATATATAAATGCAATAGCAAACGAAATTTTATTTATTTGTTTGTTTGATTTGGTTTATTGGATAAAGTCATATAAAACTGCAAATAATAATGGTAATAATAATAATAATGTTGAAATTTGAATTTGATATTAAGTTTGTGTGAATATGATTATAACAGATGTGATATAAAATGAAATGATTATAATTGACGTGTATAAGAAATAGTAAAATAAGTATTGATAATTATATATATATGAGTGGATGTATTATGAATTTCGTTAGAAAAGTGTGTATTGGTGATTAGTTGATATTATTTAACTGTATTGATAATATTAAGAAGAGTTAAATTGAAGTAGATTTGAGTTAAAAAAATTGTATCCAGTCGTAGTTCCATAAAAAAAAATCTAAAGAGTTAGAATAAGAACTGTTCTATATTTTTTTTTTTTTTTTTNATAAATATATTAATAACTAAAAAAGAATACATCCGATATGTCAAAAGGTACCACTAGAACCATAACAAATTCTCAATCAATCTCCCTTACATAGGCAACCAAGGGTGGATCAACCCCCCATTGAAATTACACAGACAACTAAGTATACGAACATTCCAGAAACAAAAGCTCCAAATCGAAGACTAAACACCACGAGGGATACTAACAAAACTCAAACAAAGAAAATTACAACACACACCTGCAAACTATATAATAAAACATCTCTTAAATCTCGCGGGCACAGCGCACTACCACTTGAACTAGCACACGGGCCAAACCCCAAACAAAAAATCTCAAGAGAGCTGCAAATCTAGACGCCTAACCAGATTTGGCAAGGAAACGAATCTCACTGACCCCACCTCCACCCCCAACCTTCATTTCCACACTCAGCACCACCTGGCTGGGAAAGGCAATAGGAGACTTGATCAGACTTCCCTCCATGCGTTCAGGTGGAACGAGAGGGGAACAACCATCACCGGCCTCGCCATGGCCGAAAAAAGGGGCGCACGACGGGTGGCTGACCAAGAAGAATGGGGGGGCTCACCGGGAAAAAAAAAAGAGGAAGCTTGTTCTGCCGAGAGAAAAAAAATTAGAGACCGAGGTGCATTATTTAAAAGCCTCCAATAAAAAATGTTGTAAGAAACGGGGGTAGAACGGGCGTTGTCCCACGCAGATGAAATGCACAATAGAAGGAAAGTCCAGATGAAACCCAAGTGAGGTTTCAACCCAAAACCAATTGGTGGAAGGAGGAGTAATCCACTAGATTTATAAGTTAAACCTATATTCCCTGTATAAATGAGGTGAGACAACTCACAAGTAATATTCTAACAAATGTTTTATTTTCGATCGTTGTGTTTTGACAAGAAGCTAATATTGAAAATGCTACCATATTCTATGTTTTGAATTAGCGGAAAGGCTTGTCAAAACGGACCTGGGCTCGGAGGCTAGCTCGCCCTGCCCCACCTAATAGACGGGTTGGACTGCTATTTTAAAGGCTCGCTAAAAAGCGGATCTATACGAGCTGACCCGCAAGCCGCGGGTTTTGGTGGGCCGGGCCACCACTAGCCCGTCATTAAAATAAAAACTGATTTTGCATAATAGTTGAGTTAACACGACTTTCACCTACTTCTCCAGTGACACTTATCCTTTCTGTTTCATAAACCCAAAACCTAGACGGGCAGGTAAATTCATAAACCCTTATGGCATTATTGGTATACTTGAATGGAGTTTGATAAGAATGAAATGAATTGTAGAATGAAATGAATACAACAATTTTTTTCAATTGATGTGTTTGATATACATAAGGAATAAAACCGGAATGGAATGATATTATCATTCTATATTATCAATTATCACTATTTTATAGAAAAAAATAATATTCATATTATTGTTATTATTTTATTAATGATAATAATAAAATTATTTTATTTCTTAAAAAAAATACTATATTTTAACAAATATATTTTTGTATTGTTACACTCATATATATTATATAATAAAATACTGAATTGTGTATTCATATACATATTAACTAATACAAATATATCCGTACATAAAATCCTATAAGCATATGTGGTCGAATATAATTTTTATATTATAATTTAATTTATAAATAAATATATAATATATATGATGTATAAAATAAAATAATATCTTCTTAAATTATATATAAATACAATTTTTTAGTTTTATTTTTATTCAAGTATTTAATATATCTAATTAAAATATGAAAAATAAATACAAACAACTTTTAAATTTTTTATTCAGAATTTATTTTTTAAAATAATTTTATTTAATATAATTAATTATTATTTATAATATATATCATATATTTATTTTTATTAGTATTTGTTAATTTTATTTTTTAAAAAATTGATTCCTATAAGTATGAGAATGAGAAAACCTTTAATCCCAAGGCAGCGGTGAAGGCGGCGACAACTGGCGAGACCTTGGAGCGGCGAGCGGCAATGCAGCGGCACAGAGAGTGACTCCGAGCCGCAACGACAAAGGCAACTTCCATTCAGGTAATGATGGTTGAACGTGAAAACTGAAAATGAAGTGTGATTTCTGATTTATTGATTAATTTTGGTTTATTAAACTGTGAATTCTGAAAATGAAGATGGCTGAACATGAATGATTAAATTCCGAAAATGAAGTGTGAATTCTGATTTATCGAACTGATTTATTCACCCTCAAGTGCCCAATTTGCTCCTAGGTCTCAGTTTGATGTGTGCTCCTAAGACTAATGT